GTAGTCAAAACCTGTTCTTGGCAGATATCCTACAAAAATTTTAATGGGATTTGTAGCTTCATGTTATGTTTGTTAAGGATCCTTTTGGCAGTAATGCCTGCCTCTCCCTGAGACATTCTAAATTTTACAGTTTTTTACCAGTAGATGGAAACAGAATATTATTAGATCAGTATTACTATTACTTGGAGCTTTCCTCCATGTTGCTTCTCTCTTCCAGAAATGAAAAGTCTGAATGTTGTTTCTTATTAACTCACAGTTGATTGCTTAGTATAAACTCCTTGAATTGAAAACTGTTTATGACAAAAATGTCCTAAAAGAGGGACAGATCTTTTAACATTGTTCACTTAAAACACTTTTAACTGCCAAATGCTAAGGGATATTTTGATTGATTTATACCTTTTTATATCTTGTGTGACTTCACTTGACATTCCTTTTATGCAGTCACCCACCTTGAAGAGCCAGAACTACCTGCAGTGGGTTGACCCTGGCTGGATGCCAGGTGGCCACCAGTGCTGCTCTATCACTCCACCTCCTCAGATGGACAAAAAGCTCATGGGTTGAGATAAGGACAGGGAGAGGTTGCTTGCCGATTGCCATCACAGGCAAAACAGACTCGACTTGGGAGAAAAAAAAAATTAATTTGTTACCAATCAAATCAGAGTAAGATAATGAGAAACCCCCCCCAATCTTAAAAACACCTTCCCCCCATCCCTCCCTTCTTCCTGGGCTTAACTTTACTCCTAATTTTCTCTACCTCCTCCTCGCCAGCAGCACAGGGGGGTGGGGAACGGGGCTCGTGGTCATTTCGTCACATGTTGTCTCTGCCACTCCTTCCTCCTCAGGGGGAGGATTCCTCACACTCTTCACTGCTGCAATGTGGGGGCCCTGCCATGGGAGACAGTCCTACATGAGCTTCTCCCACGTGAGTCCTTCCTATGGGTTGCAGTTCTTCATGAACTGCTCCAGTGTGGATACCTTCTACGGGGTGCAGTCTTTCAGGAATGGACTGCTCCAGCGTTGGTCCCATGAGGCGTCACAAGTCCTGCCAGCAAACCTGCTCCAGCGTGGGCTCCTCTCTCCATGGGTGCAAAGATGCTGGTAGGAGCCTGCTCCAGCGTGGGTTTCCCACAGCGTCACAGCCTCCTTTGGGCATCCATCTGCTTTGGTGTGGGGTCCTCCATGGGCTGCAGGTGCATATCTGCTCCATGGGCTGCATGGGGACAGCCTGCCTCGCCGTGGTCTTCACCACAGGCTGCAGGGGAATCACTGCTTCGGCACCCGGAGCACTTCTTCCCCCTCCTTCTTCACTGATCTTGGGGTCTGCAGGGTTATTTGTCTCATATTTTCACTCTTCTCTCTGGCTGCAATTGCACAGTTTTTTTCCCTGCTTCTTAAATATGTTATCCGAGAGGTGCTACCACCATTGCTAATGGCCTCAGCCTTGGCTGGTGGTGGGTACGTCTTGGAGGCGGCTGGCATTGGCTGTATCGGACATAGGGGGGAAGCTTCTATTAACTTCTCACAGATGTCATCCCTGTAGTGCTCTCCACTACCAAAACCTTGCTGTGCAAACCCAATATACCACCAAATACTTAGATGTAAATTAAAACTAGGAAGGCCAAATACTTGTCAAAAGTTACATTTTCAGTTCCTGTTTTTCATGTCTTTAAGAAATAGGTCTTTTGTGAAAGCTTCCACTTGAAGAAGGGAACATTCCAGAAAGAGTTCAAGAACTACTTCCAGATCTATATTTTTTCTCTGTGTGTAAGAAAGAACTATAACTTCTGAGCTAGTGATACATTTTAAGGATTCCTTTTTAATGTCCGAATGTACTTCAGAAGGCATTTTGTTTGCTAAACCAAATGGCTGGTTCTCAATTATGTTGAGATACCCTCCCGCCCCCCCCGAGTTTACACAGTGTTCTGATAATTTAAATAGGTCTTAAAATGGAAATACATTGCAGTTAGCATAAATGAGAATCAAGTCCACTATAGCGGATATATGTCTGACAGTGAAATTGCAAGTAACAGCAGTTACACACTTTAGTTCCACGAATGCACAAAGAAACTTCATTATTAATTTAGTGTTTGCAGAAAAGCTATCTTAAACCTGACTAGCACCAGTAGATGTCAGTGTTGGCATATGCCAATGTGTTGAGAAAAGTCGTGGTCCATGTAATGTGAGTTTTAATTTACAAACGTATGGATACCTGAATATATGAAATTGAGGTTTTTTCTTGTTCTTTTATATATATATATATATATTACATATTTCACTATTTATTGCATTCTGTGCTTGTAATTGCTAGTACAGTAAGAACTATATAAGTGAGAACTTCAGTAAGCAAAAAATATAAATGTAACTTCTGTTCTCTCTTAAATAAAAATATTCATTATAATTTTATATGTAAATCCTAAATTGTAAAATATCTGTTTAAGTGATAAATGTTAATAGATGTTGCTGATAATCTCTAAAATAGTTTTTACCAGGTTGGTCGTAGTAATAGATCCTTCAAATCTGAATTTCCCTTTAGAAGTACCAGGGACAAAGGAAATAGAAGTAGAACAGTTATTACAGGATTTTATATTTATATGTGCACATGCATACATAAACTTACTTACGAGTTACTGTGTTGTGTAAAAGTGTTCACTGTTTTTGGAAATTTAAACTGTACATAGGAAATTGGGATGTATAATTACTTCAAACTGCAACTTTCAAAAGTGAAATAGTCCTTTTATGAGGTGTTTGCCATAGGTAGATTTATTTAAAAAAAGGGGCAAACAAAAAATGATCAGAATCCAATCTCCAAGTAATCACA